AGGTGTCGTCTCTCTCTCTCTCTCTCTCTCTCTCTCTCTCTCTCTCTCTCTCTCTCTCTGTCTGTCTCTCTCTCGTCAATGGAAACCAGGAATTATCCTATTAATTGGAACATCAAATTATTTCATAAGATAGATCCTAAATTGTTTCGGCAGGAAGTTCAATCTCGTGTATAATTACAGTTAGGGTTATAAAATTTTAATTAACGCGCGCCTATAAAACCTCTCCTTCGTTCTTGCTATTATATGTAGCGTGAACAGCGTATCCATCCGTACTCACCTAATAGAATTTGAATCGACAAGGTCACCAGGACCTTCCACTCCGTGTGCCCTACCATCCTGATTCCTTTGGCTTGTCGCTTAGGCTACTCGTCCTGATCAAGGTCAGGCTAATGGTCAAGGACACGTTGAAGGATCTCCTCAAGAATGCTCGTGGCTTGACCACTCTTTATCGTTGCAAAACGTGCCACGGTACCAGCCGATCGCCGCCATTTTGGATTGCAAGCCTATGCCGAGTAAAAACGTCGGGCATCGTGGAAACATTAATGCCCCCGTCTCACCATTCTTTCCTTTCCTCCTCTTATCCTTCCCCTCCCCCCAATCACTTTTTTCTTGTCTTTTATTCGGTCTCGCACTCTCGCGCACGCCGCCTGACCTACTTGGCCGTGGATAGGTCCGGTGTACTCGTCAGCTTTTCGGCCAATGTGCTGTGCCGCCGATCTTCCTCACCTTAATTTCACTATTTTTTTACGCCTCTTTATTCCAGTTTACCCTCCAACTTTCTCGTAATTTTTCGCCTATATCGTGTTTGTATTTCATCATAGCCCTTGCGATGCGGGCTAACGTCGTCGTCGACGAAGATATATGCCCTTATTAAACAGAAAGTTTCGCTTGTAATTAGGAAAGATTTGAAAAATCTACGTTCCCGTAATCATGAATTATTTTATTATAATTCGCCAGTTAATAAACGTCACGCGAATATTTTCTTTACGAATGAAAAATGAGAATTTTTCTTTGCATCTCGGGTACAACTTTTCTTTGCAATTTTTCTTACATGCCTTTTTAACATGCCGTTAATCACGTCGTACACGTGTCACAGAACTGCACTGATTTTTCGTACATTATTGAAATTCAATTGCACAAACCGGTTGGATGTGGAATATTATCGATCTTGCACAAAATTCTCACTCGTCGAAACGATTATTATTCGTAGATTTATTCATTGGATTACGATAATCTAATTTATCATTTATCGAAGATTTGCACGTTATTGGTTTTCGCGTTATTGTGAAGGAACAATTGGTCGAATCGGTATCCTGGGAAGAATTGGACGGCGAATTCGTGGAGACGGAACAAAAACCTTCAAGGTTTGATCGAGTTTGGCTCGAAGTTCGCTTCACGGTCGTTCACACGGGACTGGCTTACGATGAGGACGGTCATACACGGTTTCTCCCACTTTAACTATGCCATGCTACATTATGGTGCACTATACTACACTCTTCTAAAGTATACATCACTTCTTCGTGGCTTGTTCCACCATGCTGGCTTCCACCCGACTCCCTGCTCTCCCCTCCTTCTTTAATTCTCTCGCCGTCCTGTTCCTTCTTTCTTCTTTCCAAACATACTCTCCTTCTCGAACACGATTCCTTCTTCCTTCTCTTTCTTCTCCATTTTTGACGGCCGACCGTACCTCGACCTACCTTTCGATTCTTTCGGGATTCCGAACTTCCCTCGCGACCTCGTGCGTCTTTAAATTCGCATTTTTCTCCTTCTCCTTCTCGTCTACTTTCCTCTCGCTCGTCTCGTCAACTTGTCGAGCAAAACAAATCTCTCCGTGCGGTTTTCTTATCGTCGAAATTGCATAGAAAGCGTCCATTTTCAATCTGCACGGTGTTTTTTTCTTTTTTTAAATTTATCTCTCTAAAAGAAAAACGTAATCTTTCCGAGAGGGAGAAAACTATAGGAAATAGTGCGTCAATTGAACGGCCGATTTTCTTAGATGCGGGTAATTGTGCAAAATGCGTGCGTGTGTTCTCAATTTTCCATCGGTCACGAATAAATAATGGCACATTTCGTAAACGTAATGTAAATATGTTATTGATATTGAAATTAATCGTTTATCGAAGATAGAATTTATTACGGTGTTTCGATTTACTTTTTGGAATAAAATACTGGATTTATATCAACGACAATGTTATCGCCGGATAATAATTGCTAATTGGAAAGATAGTAAATTTAAGGCGGTTGTTATATAAAATTTTGAGGATCTATTAGCGATCTTCAAGTGTACTGAAGATGCAAAATAGAATGAAAAGAAATATATTTCGCGTTTATAGAATCGATCGAGCGACTATTTTGGAAAATTTGATGTCGATTTTGCAAGATTTGCTCGATGTTCGTAAGAGAGGTTGCTTTGAAAATATCTCGATCATTCTTCCAGATATAATGCTGTTTCGTTACTGTACGACCGCGACCCTTCATTTTCTTCCTCTTCGTCTCTCTTCTTTCTCGGTATGGTAAAACCAGATTGGAATGCGCAAGGCTACCTTCCTCGATCAGTCGAGCAACATTGATCTTCGAGGCGATGTATTCTGCCGCCTCTGAAATCTCATCGTAATTTCATTGATGATGATGCTATCGCATCATCTTGTTAAAAACTTAATAATCGAATCCGAGTGACAAAAATCCAAATAAGCTTGAATTCTTCGATTTGGATATGGATATATTAGCGCTCAAGTTTTCTCTCGTTTTCCTTTTTTTCGTTCTAGATAAAAAATTTTTTTAAGATTTCGTTTAAAATTCATTGGTCGAGCAAAGTCTGCTTACCGATTGACCTCACGTAATACGGGCACACCTTTTCCTATTTTCGAACCTTTGAGAAGCTCAGTGGGTTTGTCTTCGTTCGTAAGCGCATAGAGAATTAAAATTGCATTTCTGTATAACGGGTAGCCTCTTGGGCAAGTATCCATGAAATTACTCGGTCAGTAACTCATCCTCATCCGGGATAGAATAATAGAAGGAAAATTATTTGTATTATTCCGATCGGTTCGAAGAACCAGATATATAGTTTAAGTTTTATTATAGTTATTTTATTTTCTTAATATTTTCAAATTTAATGATACGATCGATCAGTTTTATTTCGTTAGATATGAAAATTTCTAATTTTTTTATGCCATTGTTAAATAATGATGGCAACATATATGCTAAATTTCTAGTATCCAGAAAAGTTTTTATTGTTTTTTAAATAAAGAATTGAAGAAATAATTAACTAAACTATCTGATATATTTACATATATATATATAATATAATACATATAATAATATTTACATATTTTAATACATATAATATTTACATATTTTAAATATATATTACTGTCTGCTTTCCAATGCTTTCTTTTTTAAAAAATAATCACGATACTAAATTGTAGATTTATGGAAATTTTTATGTTTTCTGAAATGCCAATCATGCAAGAAACCAGTTCTATATTTTAAAAGTCTCAGTCACCAAGCATCATGGAACAGATCTAGCATTCAAGATATTTTCTTGTTCTATATCCGGAAAGCTTAAAGTCTCCTTACCAATTTATATCCCTTTATTTTTAATGTTACCGATTTAGTTTAGTGTAGTGATACAAAATTTATTGGTAAAAATATTAATTTCATCATAAAATATTATGATAAAGAAAAGGATTTAACATTTAATAAAAATATGAAAATTTATTATATATTAATATAAAATATCAAAAAATTTATAAATTGTTATATTGGAATAATATAAAATTTTAATTTAGCATAAACTAGAACTTGTATTTAAAATTTCTATTGGCCACTATTGGTCAAATTAGTTACTGGCTACTCCAACTAATCTTATAAAATGATAATATTTAGAATTATAAATAAATCATGTCTAATTTACAAAAATGTCAATCAATTATTATATTTATCATATTATCATATTATATTGTTAAAAACGTAAATTAAAAATAAAAATCTAAAAAAAAATATTAAATTATTAAGCACTACAAATCCAGTTAATATTTAATTTAATATTACCTTCGCGTAAAACGATAATTAGAATATTTTAATATAGATATAGGTTGAAAACTAATATTTTAAAACAATAAATTTAATTTTAGTTAATAAAAATATATTTTAATCATTAGATTATTGATTTAATAAATTGTTAAATGCATAAATTAATGTAAAAAGAATCTACAAATTGGTAAATTATTAACGATTATATTCGAAAAGTCGCTTTGAAGCACGTAAAGTCGGCGAAGAACGTACTGTCAATCGTCGAGCCGCGATCTCTTATAAATATAAATACAAAACGAGAAACAGATCATTTCGCATCGAATTTTCGTCGTAGATAGATCGACATTATAACATTTTATTTAAATTATTATAATATAAAGATAATTTTCAATTATTTTTTTATTAACATTTAACATTGTCGTAATATATTATTTAATCATTTTACTTTCTAATAATTATTTGCTTATTCATTTATATATTTGTTAATTTAAAAGTTATATATATTTTTTATATATTTTTTAGATTTTTTAGATTTAATCATTCTTATATTATATCTTTTTTTTATTATCATTTTTTATATTAAAATTTCTTTGTCACATTTTTTAATATTAATCAAAAGTCTTTTTGCATTCTCTTTTGCATTATAATACTGTTTTTAAGTATTTAATCATTTAATCTTTCTATCATATTCTTTGATGTGATTTGATGCGATAAATATGAGGATAATAAGTACAGGTTTTAAGAATTTGAAAAATAAAAATTTATTTATACGATGATAAGGGATATTCTGATTTCTTGTACGATTGGTATTTCAGAACACCATATATTCCATAAGATGATAAATGTATTCTGTTACAACGAGTAGTTCTCTTAATATATTCTATTACTGGTAAAACAGGTTCCTTCCTTCGATAGATAATTTGACTTACAGTTTTTTTCAGTCGGTACATCGAAACTTTTGAACACGCTTTCAAGTTCAAAAAATTTTTTAAGTTGATAAAAATTTAAATTGATCGTAGAAATGATCGATTATGATACGAATTTCCATACCATGTTTAAATTTACAAAGATTGTAAATCGTAATTCTTGAAATTTTCTTCAATAATCTTCAATCACTCTCCGAAGAAGAGAAGATATTGAAAATTGCTGTCAATCGAAAGGAAATTCATTTCCTCGTAAAATGTCATCAAGGAAAGAAACGCAAGAAAAGGAACGATCGAAAAAGACGAGATACGAAAATACAAGGTAGCATCGGATAATGCTGAACTGCCAGAACTGCTAATATGCCCGTTTTATCCATGTTTTTCTATGCAACACGGACAGGATACGGCTACGGTTCAATTCTCTATTTTCATTCCAAGCTGAACCGAACAATGGGGGATCTAAATTGGGCAAAAACCAGTCTGCCGTCTAGTTTGGTGAGGCTAGAGGCATTATGGTACAGCCGGTAACTACGTCGTCAGTCGAAGATCCCGGGAATAAGGTCCTCGTCAAGATAGTTAGACCAGTGGCCAAATCCTGATTCCGACCTTCCTTTTCCGCAACCCACAAATAGCTGTAATATTCGGTGAAAGTGGTAATTAACGACGCGCGCCAACTTTATGTTCCACTCCTCTCTATCGTTCCGATGATTATGTCGCGAATGCTTGGTTCATCGTACTTCTGACCTACGTCTTTTTATTTGATTATATTCGTTTTTTTTCTTTATCCGCGTAATTTTTCCAAAATTATTATATCTCGGACGATGCAAAGAACGGATTCGATCTTATTTGTCACACGATCTGAATTGGATTGCGATCCAAATGAATATCCATTGATCGTTCTAATCGTAGATACGGACGCTTGTGCAGGTACGTCCGTTCCTCGAAACCAATTGTCGGTCGAGCCATGCATGCCATGACCCGATGGTAATCGCGTTTCAATGCGCCGAACGGTTCGGTCAATTGTTTTATTGCGCAGATTAGCAGGGTAGTTATTAAAGGTCGCCTAAAAGGTCGGGATTATTTTTAGCGATTCGACTAACACGAATCGAGATAGGATCGATATGCACAATGTTGCAGCGCGGATGATAAGGAACCGAAGTGCACACTTTTCGTTGGCATTCCGAAGCTCCCTCGTAACTGTACAATCGACTTCATTGTGCTCCTCTGTTTGCCTCGAAAAATATTGTTCACTGGCTTTTGTAGGAGCTTACCAGGTGTGCGCGGTTTCCAGGTGGCTGTGAAATACTTGAAGAACTTGAAGATTGATATAAGAGAAAAAAAACAATTAATCCTTTATATACGCTCGATATTTCGATAATTTTGTTCTCTTCTTTTCTCCAATATAAAGATATTGGATATTGAATCGTACGTGTTAAGTACACAGGTCTCTTAGTTTTTCCAGAATTTTCTATGCACAGTTCTCAAATAACAGCCCGTAAAACAAGACAATAGTTACTTCGTAACTATCGGTTAATATCGGATACATAACGGAACTCGATTCTTATTCGTTTTTAATACCGTTGTACTTTATTTAAACATATCCAGATTTTATTGCCTTTTCTAAGTTTATTCCTTAAAAATATCGTAAATTTTTATTTTTCTATCCAATCGCAATCCAATCTTTTTATCCAATAATTTGCCTTCAAGAGAAAATGATTTTCGTTTTGTACTTTTCGAATTAGTCATAGCACTCGTTGTAGCAAAACTTTGCCAAAGAATTTGATCGAAGAACGTGGTTATCAGAATAATTGATTCACGGTACGTTCCCCGATATAGTCTCCCCGATCCCACGTAATCATTTCCAGAAAGCCTCTCATCGGGCTTAGAAATAAGTTAGCGCAAATCGTTGGTGAATAATCAGTGACGTGTATGAAAATCATAATCTGTTTTACACACAGCACGATCTTAGTCACGCGCAGATGCGCGAAATGATTTTCTTCTCTCTCCCTCCCTGCGTCACGCTTCCAGTAACGTCTCGTTTAATCTCGACGCCGAATATCTCTTAATTAGAAAAACGTTGCGTCCCCCTCCCCGCTCCGAGTAACGCTCCAAGTATCGATTTAAAAATACGCTCGTGCCGCATCCCTCGCTGGATATGGATGCTGGATAGAAAAAAAAAAAAAAAGAGACGAAGGACCGAAAACATTTCCGGAAGAATGGCGGATAATAGGAAAATAGGAAATACGAGCGCAAAAACACTTGTGCTGCACGTTTGAAACGGTTTATATCCGAAAATCTTGCCCCGACTGTCTCCCACTCCGTCCAGAATTCGAAGCACGTGCGTTATTCGTGGCATGCAACCGCGTTGTTCATTGCGGAAATTCGGGCGCGAAAGTAAGGGGCGCTTAGGAAGCGGATGGCCATGGGCAGTCGGTGGTCGCCCTACGAAGGGCTCTGGCAATAATGGTCCGTCCCTGGGCTGGAGAGTCTACCGGCCCATTCCGTTCGAGAGCCGTCGTCTCTCGCGTACATCGGCCGTCGCAGGAAGCATTCCATTCATGTTTCGGGACGCGCAACGGACGCTGATCGGTGGAGAAGAGAGAAACAGAGGCGGATAACCGGGACTCCTCACGAGGGCTGGCGCCACCGTCAGGAACAACGACCTGCCGATACGCAGTCACGATGACAATCGGCAAGTTAACGTGAAAAAAATCTCGAACCACGTGGTGGAAGTTGGTCGTTTTTCGACAGTTGGACCGTGTTAGAGGAGGAGGGATAAGTTGGAAAACCAATTTGACCATGGTGCGTTTTCTTTGATTAAACGGCGTGCGTGGTGCCGCGAAGTGACAGTGACCCCTGGCTGGAAAGTTTAATCTATCGATTGTTCCCCTCCTCCGTCGAAATATTCCTTCCCCTTCACGGATAGCGTGACAAATCTTTCTTACGCGAGATTTCGCGTTGAACGCGAGGGATCGTGATTTTACGAATCCTCAAGGATCGCCTCTCTTTCTCTTGTTTGCTTCCCATCTCGTTTCTCTCTCACGGTCTCGCTCCCTCTTACCGCGACCCTAACAACAGTCTCTGTCTCTCCCTCTCTTCCCCCCTCCCCCGCCCTCTCCTCCCACCCTCCCTCCCTCCCCGTCCCTTTCCCGCGGTCTTTTCACGAAACTCGAAGACAAACGAAATACGGTCGAAACAAACGACAACCATCGTAAAGATTTTTATTATCCCATAAATATCGGAAACACGAAACGGAATATATTCGGCCGGATTCTGTTCCATTCTGATAGAACATTCTCCGAAATCGTGATTAACAAATCAATTTGATTCGATTCGTTCGAAATCGTCCCGTTGTCGAAGAAAGATCGATCGCGAACGAAATACAGGAAGAGCGAGGGCCGACTCGAAATAAATAGTAAATTTCGATGAATAAGAAGCATGATTCATGGAATGGAACAGGCATTACACATACGAGTATAATATGCAACGACGTTTCCCGGAACCGTCGTTAGCTGAATATCGGTACGGTGATGCGATATAAAATGGAAAGAGGAGACTGTCGTCCTGTCAATAGGTAATTGAAGGGTTCCCCGGCGCGCATCGTAGTAGCCGGCGTGGCGCGGCGCGGCGCGACGCTACGCGTCCAAGTACGCGTGTCTCTCTCGCGGGGCTCCTCTCTATTCCCATAGCCTCCCTCTCCGCGTGCATACGGATAAGGCGGGCGATCGTGGCGGCAGGAGCGCATTGGAAGGGCCAGAACGGCAGCTGTCGGTAGCGGTCGATGCGAGGTCCGCTCGAAAGTGTCGGGGGCCTACTTCCTCGAGGGCTCGGCAACGACTAACTCTCTGTCTCTCTGCCCGTATATGCGTGGCCGGTCGTGTCAGTACTTTTCAGGTCGGTCCACAGTGCAGTTGGCTTTTACCATCGAGTTTCGACTGGCACACAGTCGCTCGGGCTGCACGACGATTCGTCGAGTCGCCGTTGGGTTACGCTCGCGAGTGGTCGGTCGGCCGTGCTTCTCCTCGTGCAACGCCGTCAAACCGTAAGTGTCTCTCTCTCGTGTACACATCCTGCCCGCGCTGTGTCTCGTGCCTCTGTTGTTGTGCGAACCAAAACTCTGCGCCCGTGTGCACGCATCTCGTACGAGGCGGAAAGAGAGAGGGAGTGCAGCACCGAGGCAGCGTTCGTTAATACCCGCTTCCGGCACGTGGAACCGAACCGCACTCTGTTTTTCTTCGCAGCGCATCGCTGCTGCCGTCGCTCCATACTTCTCTCGTGGGAGGTCAGCACCTAGCCGGTGGGTAAGTGAAGAAACCACGCTCTCACCGGAGCAGACAGTACGTATACACGTTTTGGGATACACCTTTTCGGCCAACGGAACGGTACAATAATATAACCTTTTCGAATTACACACCTTCGCGTTACACGCACGAATATTATAAACGGGTAGCCTCGACACGCAATTGTTGTTGCGTGTTTTTTTTTCTTTTTGTTTTTCTCTTTCCTTTTCTTTCTTTTTTTTTCTTTTGATTATTATTTCGAGATTAAACCGGAATCCCACGGTATCGTAGGAGAATCGTAGATGTTTGTTCATCGATTAACACGGATAGTTTCTTCTCTCGATAGTTGGTTTCTTTGAGACTTTTCATCGTGAGAACGGTTTGTTACGTTACGGTAACCGTATCTGTGAAACGTGAGAACGTGGAATGTCGCGACACGTGAAGATAAGACAAGAGTCAACCACTTACTGGCGGGGGTGGATCCCCCTCGACTTCTTTTGTTTACGAATCGCGGTGTACATGCAACCACGTGGTTGTGCGTGTTCGACAAAAGCTTGTTGAATTTTTTCGAACAGTGCAAACGTTCGAATTTCGTGCACCAATCTTTGAATAATGACCATAAGCGTTTTGAAATGCTAATCACGTTGACATTAAGAAAAGTCGCGGGAAAATTTTCAAACTAGTATACCTACCCACCTTCTTATGTTATTAATCGATTAATTCTTATCTCTATCGATTTGAATTTATCGTAGAAAAAAATTGAAAATATTTGGATACGTTATCTATATGTAGTAGTATCTACTTCGATTTTTCTACGTGGTACGACGTTGGATCGACGTCGATTATATCGTGCATAACGTAAAATTTTTTCGTAGAACGTTACACACATCGCGACGAATCGATTAATCATGGTAAAAAAGATAAATCAAAATAAGCGTTACTCGGTTTCAATGAGAGATTGACTCTATGCGCTCCTCGAATAATCGCTCTTTTTTTCCGTCAACAATCCAAAATCCCGACTATTCGTTTTTATTCGTTATTCGAATTTTAAATTCCGGATCGATAGTAGCGCTATGTAATTCTTGTTGTACATATATATATATATATATATATATATATATATATATATACGCGCACACGTACACACAGGTTTTGAAACGTTCTGTTTATTGGTCGATGCGGCTTAGAAATGGAAGTGAATGGGAGGGCTGGCTATAAGTGTTAGTCACACGAAAGACCCGACCAGATAGTAGTGTCAACCCCATGAATAATCTGAAATCTACTGGCGCCTTCGTGTTTACTTTATCTATGCGCCGTTTCCTGTCTCACCGAAAGTCCAGAGTATCTCTGCTTAACATCTATATTACTTCCTGACCTGTATCTGATAATCCATTCATCGTCGATTCGTTCATTGGATTGCAGGTTATTTTTTTTTTTTTTTTTTCCCCCCCCAAGTTTAATCCAAACTTAAGTTGCATCGTTCGGTTTAGATAGATACGGAGGAATTGTAACAATGATAATGGGTCAATTGATAAATTACGGCCTCGTTTACGCGAGCATCGCGTGCCCGATCGTTTCATTCATATATAACTGGCTCTTCTTCTGGTGAGATTTTAAACGGCCGTTTAAATGCTAGAATTCCTTTCAACATTTACGTATCATTATCGCCTCGTAACGCATAGCGCGTAAACAGTGTAACGCGTGTAGCATAATATCGAAGATACGGAAGAGTACGAGATCGTTGGGCAATCCGAGGATCGATGTTGCAATCGATGTTAGAAAATGATATATATATATATATATATATATATATATATATATATATACACGCGCACACGTACACACAGGTTTTGAAACGTTCTGTTTATTGGTCGATGCGGCTTAGAAATGGAAGTGAATGGGAGGGCTGGCTATAAGTGTTAGTCACACGAAAGACCCGACCAGATAGTAGTGTCAACCCCATGAATAATCTGAAATCTACTGGCGCCTTCGTGTTTACTTTATCTATGCGCCGTTTCCTGTCTCACCGAAAGTCCAGAGTATCTCTGCTTAACATCTATATTACTTCCTGACCTGTATCTGATAATCCATTCATCGTCGATTCGTTCATTGGATTGCAGGTTATTTTTTTTTTTTTTTCCCCCCCCAAGTTTAATCCAAACTTAAGTTGCATCGTTCGGTTTAGATAGATACGGAGGAATTGTAACAATGATAATGGGTCAATTGATAAATTACGGCCTCGTTTACGCGAGCATCGCGTGCCCGATCGTTTCATTCATATATAACTGGCTCTTCTTCTGGTGAGATTTTAAACGGCCGTTTAAATGCTAGAATTCCTTTCAACATTTACGTATCATTATCGCCTCGTAACGCATAGCGCGTAAACAGTGTAACGCGTGTAGCATAATATCGAAGATACGGAAGAGTACGAGATCGTTGGGCAATCCGAGGATCGATGTTGCAATCGATGTTAGAAAATGATTTCGATTTGTACAAGCAATATAAATCTTCGCTCCACGTGAAACAAGCTCGTACAGAAATCTCGTTTGCGTACGTTTCTATCCCGTTTTTCTTTCTTCTTTCCTTTTTCTTTTTTTTTTTCTTCTTCTTCTTCTTCTTTTTCTCCTCTTTAACGAAGCAATAGAAAGTTTGATACTACGTAAGTGAGTAAGTATTTACTTTTCTACATTCTTTGCATTTCATTTCGACCCGTCTCCTCGTTCCCTTATCTTCTATCGAGACGCTTTCCAATGTTATCGCTCCCTTCACTGCCCACCAACACGTTCCAGTTTTTCTTTTTCTGATTCTCGGAAAACGTTCATCGCGTTTGCATTCCTCCGCTTGTTCTCGCTTCCCGACGAAGCACGAGGCAGAAGAAGGCTTCTCTCTCTCTCTCTCTCTCTCGAAGGTTTCTCCTCAGGCTCGTTCCATCTCTTTTTTCTTGGAAAAACGGTTTTCTCGTATTCCTCAACAAAAAAGATACATTGGAAACACGTGACTGGACTGCGTAGGTGGTCCTACGGAGATTGTGTTACACGTAAAACTCGTACGCTACTTTTCCTACCTACCTATTTCACAGCCACGATCTTTTCCCGCACGGTATTTTCGTTGGAACGATAGAAAACGACAGTGGAAAATAGGAGCAAGGAAGCTGCTCGTGGCTTCGTCAGCTCGTTTTTCGCGTTAGAAAGTTTGCTGGGTTTCACTTTCGTTCGATCGTTTCGCCCGTGATGTGAAATGTGTTCGTGTTCCTCTGTTCTCCTTTATTCTTTTCTTTCTTCTTTTTTTACACGGTCTTATCGCAAAAGGAAGTTGATAAAAGAAATTAAATCAAAACGTCGAATGAAAACTTCCTCCACAAAGATGATAGTTGTGTTCTCGTAGTTGTGTTGACAATTTTTCGAAGTCAGCAGAAAAAGGGTGAGAGACGCTATCGTTATCGTAAATTTACGCTTTTTTACACGAATGATTCTGACACGATAAAATAATAATATATTCGTATCGTGTAAGCGAAAAACGCTCATATTTTAAATTTCGAAACGATAATGTAACGTATATAACTTTTATTACATCCTGTGTTGTAAAGAAAAAAATCCGTGTAAGTAAATATTACGAAACGATAAATACCCACTCTTTCGTCCCCTCTTTCGGCCCTTGCGTCAGATTACGTTTCACTATTTGAATTTTTCTGTTTTATCATCTATCGTCGTGCTACAATTTAAAAGTAGATTTCCTCGTATCTCGTTTCCACGCATTCCACGCATATCTACATTTCACATCTTCATTCACCTTTTATTATATTTTGGTATGACGTGTGTAATTATATTCCGTATACACGGTCGAAACGGTATTTACGAAACGATACGTAAAGTTTTACGGATATTTGCCTTTCTCTACTCATTTTATCTACCATCGTTCCCAACCACTATTATACTTCAAACATTATCCTCGCAAACTTGCTTAATGATAAAAAAGATTTTGTAACATTTAGGGAAATTGTTGGAAAATTATAAATAAATAAAATTCGAATTCTCGAATTTTCCCCCGACGATATATATTTACTTCGAGTAAGGAGATTCATTAGCGCGCGGTCGAGGAAAAATAAAAGTTAAAAAGCGCGGGGTGAACGGGAGACCCTTCTTACGTACACTTTATACACAAGATGTTGGAAAGTCGACGACGAGACTATATACGATATATACGAACGCAGGTGTCGATGCAGATGTTGCGCACAGCAGACGGTGCAACACTATCGCGTACCGAAAATTTTAACGAAACCTTTACGAATCACTAATATTTAACATTCAAAACGGTCTCACAAGTGTCTTCTTACAAGTATATCAGTTTCAAGTATATTCTCCTGCATCCAATTATTGTTCGACGTGTACGACTTAATATTCGTATTCGGGGCTAATATTTACCGATATCGATAATTAGGAAATTTGGATTGGAATAACGATGGATCGAGCGTATCGTTGTTGATGGAACAGGTGTAACGTCGATTCAAAAGATTCCCTCTCTAAATTTAACCGAGATATGTGGCTCGATGTAGCGGAAACATTGTGGTTTTCTTTCTCTGGTTTCAGGTAGAAGTCGAAATGTTGTGATGGCCGGGACATCTCGACGTCCGAGCTCCGAGCTCGGACCGGACCTTTCATCCCCCACGCCGCCCAAGAAATCGAAGTTCTCCGAGGCCTCGATCGAGGGAAGATCCGAGAAGGAGCATGACTTGAGCACCGAGGAGTTGGAGAGCGTGGAGAAATTGTCGGTCTCGGTGGGATCCTCGTTACCCGAGAACACGATAGAGGTAATAGTGCCGGGGAGCGCGTCAGAGACGAATCCATTCGGCGAGGAATCCGCGAAACAGGTGGGTTTGGAGGGAAATGTAGCAGCGGCCGGCTCCTCGAAGGAAGGACACTTTGGCAGCTTCGAAACGATCGCACAAATGAAGTACAGCGGCCAGAAAGAGTTGTCTGGCAGTTCTAACAAGAGATCGGAGTCGGACGGCGACGTGCAAATTCAAACTTCGATAATCGGCGAGGATGCGTCGTATCAGGAATTGTCTTTGATCGGAAATGGCGCGTATGGAACGGTGTACAAAGCTAAAGACTTGAACACGGGACAAGTGGTGGCGTTGAAAAAAGTCAGAGTGCCCCTGACGGCAGATGGCCTGCCTACGTCCACGTTAAGGGAAATAGCCACTTTGAAACAGCTCGAAAGATTCGAGCATCCGCACATTGTAAGTCTCTTGTATATAACGGTTGATATGCCGTATCCTATTTGCATTCTATTCACTCACATTCTTTGTTGCGCGCATGCAGGTAAGATTGTTGGACGTTTGTCAAGGGAATTATCTACACTTGCCTTCCGCCGATGGAAGGTCGGAGAGATTGGATCGGGGATTGACGTTATGGCTTGTGTTCGAGCACGTGGAAAGGGATCTAGCATCTTACATGTCCTCTTGTTCACAGACAGGGATTCCTCCTCATGTGGTGAAGCAAATGTCGAAGGAAATACTCAGAGGTGTAGAATTTTTGCACAGTCATAGAATCATACACAGGGACTTGAAACCTCAAAATCTATTGGTAACCAGGGAGGGAAGAATAAAAATTGCAGATTTTGGTTTAGCGAAAACGTACGATTTTGAAATGAGGTTGACTTCTGTGGTAAGTTGATATATATATATATATATATATATCGAATAAATTATTCGTTAAAATTTTTATGTTCTAATATTAAATCGTAGAAATTATTGTATAGGTCGTGACACAATGGTATCGAGCTCCAGAAGTCCTCTTAGGCTGCTCTTATGCAACTCCTGTTGATATTTGGTCCGTTGGATGTATTCTAGCAGAATTAAGTAGACTTGAACCTCTGTTTCCTGGTACGAGCGAAGGTGACCAACTCGATAGGATTTTCCAGTAAGTTAATATAATAAAGATGTTGGAAGATTTCTTTTCTGGAGAAAAAATGATTTGAACTGTGAATGATTGAACTCTGCTTTACACAGAATAATTGGAACTCCATCGCAAGGGGAATGGCCTGAAAATGTATCTCTTAGTTGGACAGCTTTTCCTTATAGACAACCAAAATCTTTTGCAACTATAATATCTGATCTCAATGAATATGGGCTAGATTTAATTAAAGGTATGCTTACCTTTAATCCTCATAGACGATTAACTGCGGCTCAAGCCCTGAGACATCGGTATTTTGCTGAAGATGATTCGTGATGATTAGTTTTCTTGAGTATTTTTTCTTCATCTCTAATAATTTTTTAAATGCAGACTGATGTTACGGTATCCAAAAAATACGTAAGCATGTTATTTTATTTTGTTTTTTATTTTTTTTTTTTTTTTTTTTTTTTTTTTAATATAAGAACATCATAGTACTTTTCTTTTTTTAGAAAATAGTATAGTTTATTACGAATATAATACAATATGAATCTTCGTAATTATCTACGGCTTATAAATATTCCTTTCTTATTGAGGAATTATAATTGCAAAATACGTTTACTACAGTTTATGAAACCATCGTTATATTTAAGTTCTATAGCTATTGCATTTGAAAGATCATCGTAATTTAAGTATACATAGCCGTTAAATAGTACAGTAAGTAACAACTTTCTAAGCTTTGTTCGGATAATCGTACAATAATTTTCATTATTTGTGTATGTAACAACGACATTATCGATAGATATAGTTATTTATTTAGGTTAATATCTAAATAGCATTTCCGTTTCTATTTTCTATTTTCATAATAGTGATGAATCTACTCATATTTCCACGTTTCATTTTCACGTTATAATACCTTTCTCGACTAGTAAATATTTTCTAATAAAAATAAAATAATAGGATTTCATCTTCGCGCACCAAAAACAATTTCGTATAATGATTGATTAGGTGTGCCTTCCAAAGTCGTTGAAATATTCATAACCCATGCCTTAATTTTCTATGTAATGAAACTTAATTATAAGCATATTATTAAGTAGCATTATTCTTGTAAGACTGGGGCCTATTGACCCGTTAGATTCGTTGGAAAGATATAGGATTTCCCACAAAAAACCAGAAAGTACACTGCCATATGTATGTAAAACAAATAATAGCATGTAAAATGTATTTTATCTTCAGTATATATAAAAATCATATGAATATTTATATATAGAGATATATATATATATATATCTCTAAGTAAGTACATAATTTGTAAAAATACGTGAAAAACCTTTAAAAAGACTGTACAACAAAATAAAGATTTTATAGTTTTATATATCGAAACTATTCTTAAACCAAAGCTAAGTTAAATTAAGCTAAAAAAAAAATTTATACTGTTATAGATCAAGAATCAGATAATATAGTGTCATGATGCAACATTGTATCGATTCAAATTGGCCGCCATTTAATATTCGTGACATGGCTTCTTGAACGTTGCAGCTTTTTTATTGTATAGCAATTAGTAATGAATTTGTGATAGTCATGTGTTAATTTTGTAGACAAAAATATATTGAATCCGCTCGAAATGAGATTGTTTTTAAATCTCGGAATAACTTCATCTAAACGATTACTATATATCAATACCAATCTATTAAATCGTTCTTCATGTTGGAGAAAAATGGCGACCGAAGTGGAAAAAGCTCAAGTTGCAGCTCCTACCGGAGATACAATTTTCGGAAAGATACTTCGTAAAGAAATACCTTGTAATTTCATTTATGAAGATGATAAGGTAAAATGAATCGAATTATTTAAAAATTATTTTTAAATTTCAAATGTATTTATATTTCTGTTTTATTAAAAAAACGTAAGTAAGGTTATATATTTTGTTATGTTTCCATGACAATTTTCTTTTCTTATATTTTATTAAATAATTTATTATACAATTTTCAAATTTCGATTTGTCGTTTTTGAATATCTTGTAAATACATTCCTTTGAATAATAATTCAATATTAAAATTTTTTTTTGTAACTGCTACTATGAATACGTAAAATTTGAAATATATTCTTGTATATGTAATTTATATCTTTGTTAAAATTCTGAGAAAAAATTTTTTTAATGTTTTAGTGCGTTGCATTTCAAGATATAAATGCTCAAGCACCAGTGCATTTTCTAGTAATTCCACGAAAACCAATTTCACAACTTTCAAAAGCCGAAGATGCGGACGAAGCTTTGTTGGGCCATTTAATGCTTATTGCCCGTAAAGTGGCGAAGCAACAAGGCCTCGATAATGGTTTTCGTTTGGTTATCAACGATGGAAAACATGGTGCACAATCGGTATATCATTTGCATATACATGTTCTCGGTGGTCGCCAAATGCATTGGCCCCCAGGTTAAAAAATTCTATTTCATTTAATGCAATTCTATACGCAGTTATAAATTTTAAGAAATACCTTTTGTCAATAATAAAGCATTGAGGAAAATATTGCTTATACGTCATTATTTTTATTACAAAATTAAAAATATTCGAAAAATGTTATTTTAAAACCAATTAAAAATCTATTTTTTTTTATACACTTCATATACAAATTGTATATCATTTTCTTCTTGAATTCCTTGTGGTATGTTTGGATCTCTAAAGGAAAAAAAAAAAAAGAAAAATGGAAAATAATTTTATGAATGAAGTTATTATAAAAAGAACTTACTCTGTTAAAACAAAATCATTAGGGATAGTTGGGAAAAATGCATCACACTCAAAATATTTTTTTATTCTTGTCAAATATAATCGGTAAAAATTTGGAGATTTAATTGTAGCCTGTAGATTAAAAAAAGATTCAACTGTAATTAAAAAGTTCTCATTAATTTTGTATAAACAACGCACCTTATACACGGAACTTCCTCCTATCACCCATATATTTTCAATTCGATCTTTAGTTTTTTCAATAACTTCAAAGGCATGTGGAATATTTTTACATACAATCACATCATTTCCATAATCCCTAAATATTTTTAATGATTTCCTTATTTTTATTATTTTTCTTATTTTATTCGTATTTTATTATAAAAATAAATCTTACAAAGATTGTGATGTTAAAACAATGTTTATTCGATTTTTCAAAGGTCTATGTTCTTTCGGAATAGATTCCCATGTTTTTCGTCCCATCAATATAACGTTTCTTTTGTTTGGGTTTTTCGTATTCGTAGTCATAGATGTAAAAAATGCCAATTCACTTCTACAATCATTTAATAATAAATAGATTAAAATGCGTTATTCATATTTAATTTATAATATTTTCGTTATTTTTTTACTTAAGTTTCCATGGTAATGTTCCTTTCACACCAATACCCATTCCTTCACATGTTGCTGCAATTAAATTCAAATTTAAATTCATTTTTTAACACTAACTAGCGAATAAATTGGTATAAATCACTAATTTTTCTTGACACGTCACTGTTAAAAATCGTTAATTCTCCGATATACGTTGTTGATTTATCAGTCGATTATTATAACAGTTCTACATGAAATCAAATTGATGAAACGATATTAAAATATCTATTACATATATAATAATAATAATAATAATAATAATAATAAAAAATATATTTAATAGATACTGTATATATATATATATTTCTTATATATATATATATAAGAAATTTTTTTACGAATCTATAATAAAATAAACTGCAGACTTTACAATCCAACACACCTTAAAATATTGATACGATATAGAAGACAGTACAATGTTCAAAATAAAAGGTATTCAAAAATAGGAAAGGATTTATGAATTTTATTTATAGTGTAGCATATTTAATTAATTTATTTTAAAATTCAAACAATCAATATAATTTAATTAATTAATTGATTAAAAATTTGTTGGAATTGATTATCAATTAATTAATATTAAATGAAAATATTAATAAGAAAATTCATTTCGTTATATGTCGCCATAAACATTACGAAACGATATTGATAGATATCGTTATTCAATAGATGGCAGCACAGTTTAGTCTTAGTGTCATGCGACATTTCAGCTTTAGACGTAATAACCAAACTTTGTTCTTGCATATTTAAAATACTAATTACAATACATTAAATTCTTTACATTAATTGGATTACTCGTTAAGTTTGATTGTATCATAAGGTAAAAAAACTATTATTACTGTTTATTTTTATAAATATAATAATTATTGCTTTAATTGAAGTTTAATGTATGTTGCTTTACACGTTGTGAACATTGATTTCGAAACCATTTTTTATTTCATTCAAATTTATTTCGTTCATTTTATTATTTAAGCATTTATATAATATATTTATATAAGTTTTTTTTACAAATATTCCTTATAAATTTTGATATATCGAATCTTATAAGTAACAAAATATATAGGTTATTGTTTTAAAAAATAATTTGCAGTTTGATAACAATTCAAATTTTTATTCAAAATTAATTACTGTATTGTAATTATCTTGTAATTATGCTAAAATAAGAAAATTTGTTATAATTTTGTTATTTTTTTTTTCAAAAATTCACATAAAATTAAATTTGTACTTTTAGAATGTCTGGTCGTGAAGGAGGTAAGAAAAAGCCTCTTAAGGCACCGAAAAAGGAACAAAAAGTTTTGGATGAAGAAGATCTAGCATTCAAGCAAAAGCAAAAGGAACAACAGAAAGCACTTGCTGAAGCTGCTAAGAAAGCAAGTCAAAGAGGACCTCTTGTAACAGGCGGTATAAAGAAATCTGGCAAAAAATGATTTAATTAAGACTGATGAAAAATGCAATCAATATGCACACCATGTTTTTATCAAGACATGATTTTGATATTATTAACTAGTATACCATCCAATTTTGGATTTCCTACACACTGATAAATGATTAATATCTGTAAATAAAACATTTATGAACTGAATCACAGCAATATATGCATTTCATAGGTATTTGCATTTTTATCGTTGAACAATTTAATATGTTTCATATGTTTGTAATTGTTCTATTTAAGTATTAAGTATGGATAATAATAAAATAATAAAATTCTTATTAAATAACTTGTTTCTAGAGATTAGAAACAAATTTGCAACCTATAATCATTGATTTATTATCGTTTGCTAAATTATTTTACTTATAATTAATGTTTCATACTTCATACTTTTTAATTGCTTAATCCTGCAGTTGATCTTATTTAACTGTCAAATAATAAACCGTTGCATCAATTAACCTTGAATTAAAATACTCTAAATAAAGATTTTAAATTCATTTCAATGATGTAGTCACGTGTATTAAATTGACGATATCATTGTAAAATTTTATCGATAAATTACGAAGTTATAAAAAACATAAGTAATAATTAATAAATAATATTTATTAATTTTATCTTTTCGAATATTTATTTCTTTAAATCAAGTACAAACATATGTCTACTGAAGAAACGTGAATTACAGCTGATTGCCATATGATCGGCAGTGTTGGCAACTTTCGCGAAAAAAATTTCTTAATCATACTCTCTCTTTAAGCTTCTTCGTTTCGTATTGTATTAATTTTAAAACGAAATATATATTTTAGACAAAGCTAATAACGCAGTTTTCGATGTTCCGCTTATTTAGGAAAAATAATTTTATATTCGTATAAATTGAATATTGGTATAAATCTTTTAAATTCTTTTTAAATAAATAAAGAAATTTGACAAACATTTTAATATTCTACCTTCTAATCTTTTATTCGTGTATCGTAAATTGTATTACCATATTATTTGAAACGAATCTTGTAATATGAAAAAAAGTCAGTGAGATTACGTAGTGTATTCCTTAAAAAGAATTTAAAATGCATACAATAAATATTTGGACTAAATATTATTTCATTTGGTTTTAGATAAATGGATCTGGATCCCATCATATCGGAATAGAATAGTTATTTTATTGAACGCATGTTGGTAAGCGTGAGATCTCACGAAGAGCTGTCACTGGCTGGGTCAGTTGGCAACAGACCTTCGAGGTGGTCATAACTGCTTGTGCTGTCTTAATCCTGCATCCGTCAAAACTCTCTTATCGAGTTTGCATGTAAAGAATAGTCGAAAGAGTTCTCGTGTGTGCCGTGACAGAAAAGACATAACAGCGAGGAACGAATTCACGAGTGCGTCGATAGTTCGGGAAAACCATGGAGCTCGTTAGGATCATTTGACCCACGGGAACGACTCCAGGCTCGGTGGATCGTGCTACCTCGCGTGATATTACAAATCGGTGAGTACAAGCCACTCTCTTCCTCTTTCTTTGTGTGACAGTTTGTTTCTGTTCTTTTAACGAAGAACAAAGACGAAAAGTATTCTCTTTCTCATTCTACTATATGTGTCATGTAAATGCTTTGTATCACGAACAATATGATGCATGTATTGCGTGTGCCCAGAAAGGGACACCATGATATTCACCTGCATCACTTACCATATTGCAAACTTTATGCTTTTTTTCGACCTCTTCCACCCTCAAAGGGTTGTACCGTAACTACTAGTGAGATGATCGAGCGCGATTTCCTGGCTTGACATGTGTGGGTAACACTGTAGTCATATAAACGGCTTATGTAGTGTATTGTGAGAGGAAAAGAGAAGAGCATATAGTTAATGCGTATATCTAGTCTCTTGCCACGCGTATTTCGTTCGGGTAAGAAGTTTGGATTTTTTCATATTGTAACGTTGCAAACTTTTTGGTAGAAGGTCATTAGTTTGTATAATTTATTTTAGCTGATAAATTAGACAGCCGGTTAGAAATATGTTAGAAGAAATTCACGCAATTGATTAAAAATTACAACACGATAATTTTCTATTCGTGATATAAATTTGTTATGTCTTTGATACTTTAATTTTTTTTTTTTCGATTTTATTGTGTTTAATCATTTTGGTGATAAAAAAAAATTGAATTTATCCATAATAGATTATTTGATCACATTTCTGTTGACAGATTTAATTTAAATCTCACGAATGTAACTTTAAATGCATGATAATTATTTTACATCTCAAAATCATTGCTACGCGATACCTTGACACATCGAAGTATTGCACAACGCTGTTCGTTACGAAAAACCGTTGATCATTCTTTTGAAATTGTTCAAATCGTTTCCACGTCTCGATCGATTCGTGACTCGTCGCGATGAATCGCGAAGAATCGTGAAATAATCGCTGCGACAAACTTATGACGCATTCGAATGCACACGTGGAAAAGCTCGAGGGTGAGTGGCGTGTCACCGACGGTGCTTTAATATAACTCGATATAAATCACGAACGTATCGAGGTTAACTTTGACCTTCTTAATATAGCGGAACCTCATGCTTCGAAATTCTCATATTCTTTATTAATTTCGACCACGTATTGCATCAGTATTTTGACGTATCGAAACTCACGTGAGTTTATGATTTAATAGATTTTAACATGAGACTTTATACGCGATATTGTTAAATACGGAAAATTACTTTAATCTTATTCTTTTTTTTATCCAGTTTTCTTTATTCATATTGTGCGCGCTATTATTATGGTACAGTGCATTGCGTCAGACTTCCAATAATGAAAACCACGTGCACGGTGGGACTATATTAAGGTAATTACGAAATAAGATACATCTACGTCCAATTATTATATTTCGATTGGAAAGGATTTTGTGTTCGATGAATAATCGATATGGAAAATTTTAAAATTTTTTCCATATTTGATCACTCATGAAAGATAAAGGGATTTACTTAAATATTCGATCGTCAAAGTTGCAATACGATTCAATTACAGCGCGTAAAAGTTCAATATTTTTTTGATAATGCTGTTCGAAAGAAAATATAATTTTATTCGATAGAAGAATAATGCAATTAGTGCAATTTTTCGTGTCCGGATATGTGTATTTTGTCTCGGTTGTCTGCATTCTAAGTGCATCAGTTTCTCATCGTTAGTTTTGGCGTCGTCATCGCGCTCGTGTACTCGCTGCGGTAACCTTGTGCAACGCTTTACCGATTCGCATCTACGCCTTCTGCAGAATTCTTTTTTTTTTTTTCTTTTTTTTTTGCATTAAAAAGATAACAACGGAATGAGATTTTTTTATGCCGTTGAATGAATTCAACGAGCTTCCGTATCAATTGACACCAATTAGCTGTATTATTATAAAGATTGCACGTAGGCATCGCTTACGTCAATTATTGATTCGATTTACCCTACAAAAAAATAATTATATCTTAAACAATTTTCTCTTTTATTAATTCTTTTTCTCGTCGTACAAACGTGATTCGTACATACGAGATTATGTTAAATGTTTCGTAATCGTTTCACTTTGGACGAAGTAAACACAGCTATAAACATTCGAGTTCATGATCGTTTGATGACAACAATCAATTCTTGTACGAATCATTTCTATGCGCATAATGTGATACCAAAATTGATACCAAACCAGCGGTCAGAATTCATATTATATATATTCAAACCCTATGCTATAGTTCATGTAGGAATTTTGTTTCGACGGTTCAATATAGATATAGATAGAAACCAGAGAATGAATAGAAATCTATTCCTAAGGTGAGGTGGTCAGTTTCGATCGGAGGTTTAATTCTTTAACACTTTAACTTTCAACTTCTCCGTGAGAGAGAAATGTTCAAGCAATTGAAGCGTACAAATCGACAAAGGAATTTTCCTTTTGATCAAAATTTACATTTCGAATGTAACTCGTTACAAGATTAATCAAACACGAGTATTTACCGATATTACGTAAATACGTTCATATGAGTGACACAAAAGCTGGAATTATCAAAGAGATCTCTTTGAATCTCATTTAAATACATTACGTTCGTAAATCAGTACCGACGTCGTGTATGCAATACTGTAGCAGTGAAAACGCGGAAATCCTTTGCATACTTTTAAAGATTGAAGCCTAAGAGAGCAGCTCAACCACTTAGCCAGTGCTAATTCGAGCGTTGACTAAAATCGCTTCGGCTAAAAGGGTTAACGATAAAACGTGCCAATTTTCTCGCTACGTCGTAATTCGTGCTGTCAATATAACCACGAATTCTAACCCATCCTATTCAATCCGGTGATAAGCCGTCGGGCCATGAAGCTATACGGTCTCGACCTCCTTCTTCCTACTCTTATCAACATGCATACGCTCACATCGCTATATACTAAGATTACCCGTTAACTTTCTGAATTGAAAATCCTTTCTCTTTTGATCGTTCTCCTCCTCTTTATCTGTTTTATCCATAATTCTTTTTCTCTCTCGATCAATTGGTTTCAAGTTTGGTAAAAGTGATGGAAAAGTATAAAAGATTTAACAGCTAGATAAGCGGAGAGCCGGGTAAACGAGCTGACCCACATTGACGAAGAACCGTTCGTACGAGCAGGATGTGTACGTGTTCAGCGAACGTTCGTATGCACCGGAACACTCGTGTGTTCCGTGACGACAGAATGCATCGATCGAGAAAGGCCCTTTCCGTTACGCCTCTCTCCTTGTCGCTCCCACAACGATAACTATTATCGATGGATTAATAAAAGTAGCTAGGTGATTATTCATCCTTCTTCGATAACAATTCCAATTCCGATTTATCGATAATGGAAATGAAACATTTCGGTCAAATATTCTTCGATCGATCCTGTTTCTCTTTTTTATCAAGTTGCATCGAATTCTCACGAGAAAGAAAGGGAAAAAAACTCGTTGTTCAAAGTCAATCTCGTGTAATCGAAACTATTGAGAAATTGTATTCAACGTGCACAAGTAGTTCCTTCGCATCTAATAAAATAATGACGGTATCGTGATGCGGTCTGTTATAATTTTACGATCTTACAACCAGCCAATGACTCATCTCGCGGCTAATCGCAACGGGCGGCTCTAAAGTTCCTTTTGCACGGCTCGACTCTCGAGGGAGAGTGCGAATACCACGTCTTTGACACGCTCGTGCATCTTCTTTATATATATATATATATATATATATATATATCTGCATTGTATCGTCGTTCGTATATCACGTATGATATTTCGATCGTGATTACGATCCCAATTAGTTTCTCGCGAATTAAGTTTCGAGATCGATGAAGCTGCGAGCTCGTTCACTCGTCTTTTATATTCAACCAGTTTCGTAACTAATCGGTTCGCGCTACACGCGTTGTCGTTGACAACACATAATACCACGACGCCTTATGTAAGCTCGATACATGCGAGATAGAAGATAGCGATGCACGTGTTATCTGAGAGACGAGACCGCAGCCTTGTTCGGGGACGATGCAACTGCATTGCACCTTGGCCACATCGCGATATCGCTTCTTAACGTGCCTCCTCCGTTTAGCTTAGCCAAGATCGTGAATAGAGAATTTCCATTTGCTCGGGCGGAAATCCTTCTGTTTGGATGTATTTCATTGGAAAACTCGGGCTTGGCTCGTTGCTCGACTCGACGATTGTGAAACACGAGCGAACACGAGTTCTACTTTTTGTAATTGTTTCTCCTTGCTCTTAACTTGCCTTAGTTTTCACCGTTTCACCGATTCAAGTAACAAACGAACTCGAATTATCGTGCACAGTACAATTTTCTAATTACACGTCTCGATCGAAACTGTTAAACGTAGAAATTTTTTTAGGAAGCGGAAAGATATTCATGAATCAAGGATATTACGGTTACTCTTTCCATCATTCTAGCTGTCAGCTATCCCGATAACTATCGGTTTCGCTCGCTTTCACCGCGATTCAATCTGTGGTATCGCGATAATTATCGTTAAATCACAGATTCGTGAAAGTCGCGATAAACCGTTCGAATTGCCGCAAATTTGCAGGGGGAAAATTTCTTCTCCCTGTATTTCGTAATCGATTCGATCCGATTTTTTGGACAAAATTCTTCTCGCGTATTTTCTCGTCGCCCGCGAATATTCGAAGAAAACCTGGCGGCCACGCGTTTCGTTCGACAGGATTCGCGATAAATTTATTTCGAGCATCGAAACAACTCTTTCTCTCTCTCTCTTTCTCGGGTCGAGCGTGCAAGAACCTCGAGTCGAGTTACCTTGAATTTTCTTGCACGTCCGCCCAAAACAGCGCGGTTCATCGTCCTCCGCGGTTTAGAATATGACTCTCTCGTATTATTTTGACATAATTCGACCGACGCGCGTTTTTTTCTCTCTTTCTTCCTTTTTTTTTCTTTTTTTTTCTTTTTTTCGTCCCATAAGCGATCGAGGCAACAAAGACCGACCTCGGATCGTTATTCGAAGCCGCTGAAAGTCGCACGTGTTTCTTTGTCGAGTGTATAAAGAACGCCCGTGTATCGCGTATTATTAGGTCATTGACGCGTTGAAGAAAGGAAAAAAAAAAAAGAAAAAAGAAGACCTTAGAAATCGTTAACAGTTTAAGAAATGATTCGTGTGCCAAAAATTCGAGGGGAGATACCTCGATAGTCTGTACGAAGATGCGCGTGCCAAAAATATTTCGTTTATGCTTAACCTTATTTCGGGAGTAAATCTTGGTGGCGAGCCTTCCATTTAAATATAAATCGTTCGCTCGCGTATTTTTTTTTTTTTTCGAGTTTTTCCAAACTCGATTTTTAGAAATTCTCGCGAATTATTCCGCCGAAGATTCGTGGATTTTGCACGCGATACGCTACGTAGTTGCACGTAGTTACGTAGTTAATTAAATAGAAATTGAACAGTAGTGGACAGTTGGAATCGTTAATGATCGGAATCGTGCATGTGCCTGCGATCGCACGTGCAACCGCGAAATCGCAGTTGTGTTGGTTGCATAATATGCAGGTAACCTAGATCCGCACCCACTGCTTCCCACCCACCGTCCTCATTACCCCTTTGAGATTCTCTCTCTCTTCTTCTTCTCTTCACCTTCTATTCCCCCAGCCACTCTAGAAAACTCTTTGTTTCGCGTCAAGACGCACTTTGCACCGGTTTCAGGCATCTCGCTTCGGTCGGGTTCACCAATGCATTTTCGCGTAATTGCGCTAATAGGTAGCCACACTCGATCGTTGTTCTCTCTCTCTCTCTCTCCACTTTTTCTTGTCGTGTCGATCTTTCTCCCCCTCCCCACGAACGTGGCTCGGTTAATTGGATGGCGGGTACGATGACTTTTTAATTAGTTCGCTTCTTTTTTTTTTGTCTTCTCGAATCCGTGGGGAACGATTTCTCGGTAAGGGGAAAGGAGGAAACGAGCACGATGAGTAGCAGGCTGCATTTTAGTAAATACTCGCGTAACTCGAACAACGCGAGAAAGAGGTGAAGTGGAGTGGTACGCTGTGAAAAAGATCCTCGTCGAGCCCTTTTTCCACCCTCCAGCCAGAATTGACGTCATGCCCTTCCCTTCCCTTCCCTCCGTCGAGACATTCGTCAACGTGGAAGGTGCATTGTGTGTCACGACATGTCGTGCAACACGCTAGGCCTTATTATTTATTCGCCACGTAGCGTAAGCTGCCTCGAAACAACGTAATTACTCATCATCGTCATCATCATCATTTCTGGACATTGTATATATTGCCTCCGTGTAAAATTAAAGAAATTTCCCTTCCTCTTTTCTTTTCTCACTGCTACTCGATCCCGATTTTGTTTGCGCAAAACTACTTTATTCATCCTACGCCGGCCTTCGCTCGAAAGAAAATAATTCCGCGGGCAAAAAATTTATTATCAGCCTCCTCTGAAATCCTGTTGCTCGAGAAACTTTAATGATACCTATAAATCAGCTCGTGATACAGCTTCGAATTCATTTAAATTCACGAGGCTGGCGATACTCGAATTGATAAGTGAACGCAGGAGGAGGATGCTTATGCGTGCGTACGCCCGTGCCAAAAGCAGAACGGATGCGGAGAAAAGAATCCAAAACGACACCTCTGTATCTCGTTCGGGGCCGTCTCGGATTTCGATATTGCAGTCTACTCTTACAGCGTTGATTATCATCGTGAAACTGGATAGTCACGGCCTCCACGTGTATTAGACGTACAAAACAGGTACAAGCTTCTTTCCGTTCCTTCTGCCACGATCTCGAGCCGAATAGCGTATGCGTGTGTTCGCTCGCGATTCGATGGAAACGCACACTATCTTCCG